AAGGTCAGAAGGAAGGAGAACAAGTCACCTCTTCTCAGGTGAGATGTGGTGGGAAACTACCAGATCCAGTGCAAGCTGAGCTCCAAGGGCTGGTTCCTGCCTGGTGGCTCCTTGCAGGGCCTGGCTTGAGAAGCACCAAGGATCCGTGTGTGGCCAGGATAGAGGGAGCAGGAACAAGGGAGGGTATCAAAGTAAGTTGAGGGTGCTGGGTAGGAAGAAAGTGAGGGGAATTGGGTGGCTGGGGTCTGGGCATGATGTTATGTGGCTTTGTGACTCCTTGCAGTGAAAGGGACAGCCACAGTGCCCTGAAGGTGCACAGCCACAGTAGTGGCACTTCCAGGGTGGGTCCTGGACTGTGTGGCCATAGCAACCTGGTCCCAGGCAGGGCACTGCTGAGAAGTCTTAGGCCCAGCCCTGCCTCCTCCTATCTCTGCCTAACCTGTTTAGCTCTCCCACATGCTCCTGAAAGCCAGCACACATGCCATCCATCCCTGCACCAGGAGCAGGCCTTGGAGTCACCAAGGAGAACTGCTGTAAGAGAAGACACCATGTTTTCTACCTGACTTTGAACCAAGGATCTTTCACAGGGTAGGCAAACATGATAACCGCTACACCACAGAAACACACATGCAGAGGAGTGATAGAAATGTAGCCATGTTAGTCTGGTCTACCTGAAACAGAAAACAGGACTAGTCATGTTTTTTGTTTCAGAACCACACACAACACTGTCTTCTGCTGCTGCACTTAAACTTGGGCAAATATTCGGGTGCTAACCCTTTCGCTAACAGAGATTGCTGTTGTTAATTTTGTGCCCTCAGGAAGGAACCAAACTGAAGGAGGCCAGGCTCCCACCTGGGGACTCCAACCAAAACACTAAGACCAAGGGGTTTACAAGCCAAATGATCAATGTTTGCTGCATTTTGCCCTCCCCAAACCTTGCAAAACCTCAAAAGCAACTCTGCAGTCCAGCGGCTGGGGGAGATGTGCATGTTAGAGCCTCTGCCCACTGAGCTGTAGCCTTCTGTGCCCAGGGAGCCAGCTCTGGATGCCCATTGGCAAGTCTCTTGTCTGCATGGGCTGTGCTATGCAGAAGAACAAGAACCACGTCCAGCTGGGGAGGAATGGCCATGCAGAGCGTCCAGTCGCCACTTCCCTGTTTGCTGCACTCGAACTTAGCCCAAGAGCCGAGAAGCTGCTCTCTCCCACCCAGAAACCTCTGGCCTCATCTCTCCCCAGCTTCTTCCTGACCCCTCAGTTGAGTCCTTTCCAGGGGGGAGCTTCTAGGAACCGGCCTTCCTGGCTGCAGGGTGGGTTTGGGTCCCCGCAACCTTTGGATCAATGTGAGACATGATCCCAGGGGAACCATCTCCTGGAGCTTCTCCCTGTCCCAAGGAGCTCGGGGCAGGGGATACAGGGCCAGTGTCTGTGCGGTGCCAACATCAGTAACACATGGCAACATTTCTCCTTCCTCTGCTGGACAGGGAGCCAGATCGTTCCCATGAGGCCACATTCAGATGGGGCAAGGTCTGGAGAAGTGAAGCTGTTGATTGGAACAAGCAAGGGGAGCAGAGTATCAACTAGCTGAGAGCCTCAGGCACAGAGCGAAACTTTGACTCTTGCAAGCTGAGTTCAAATCTCAGTGAGACCCTCTGGCTAGGTGTTGGTTTGTGCAAGTCCTTCAGAATTGATCTTCTTGCCCCACTTTTTCAAGTCCACTTTGTGCTTCTTGACTTTTTCAATCTAAGGACTTTGAAGCAGCCTTTGGCAGAGCTGCTCCAGTGGCGCAATGGGTCAGTGTGCAGTACTTGTAGGAGATATGCTGAGGTTGTGAGTTCAAATCTCACCTGGGGCAGTGGTTTTTAGTCCCTGCTGGGCTGGCCTCTTCCAGTGAACAGGCAGGAGAAGGGATCAGTGAAATTTCCCCCTTCACATATTATGGCCTCTTCAGAGTGAATGCTGGGTGGGCAGGATCAGAGGCCAAGTTGCACAGAGAGGGTTCAAAAACCATTGCACAGGGACAACCCAGGTAGGACAGAAAACCATTGCTACAGGGAAGGTTTGAACCCACAACTGTAGCATATCTCTTCTGAGTACTATCTTACACATACTGGGTGCTGACAAGTTGCACCACTAGAGTAGATGTTCCGAATGTTTCTTCAAAGTCCTTAGATTGAAAGAGTCAAGAAACACAAAGTGGAATTGAAGTTTCTGCTGTGCCCTTGTTCTTTCTTTTCACAGGCAGAGCCAGGGGTTCTGCACATCCAGAGACCCCTCCCTCTTCTTCCATGGTCACTGAAAAGCCCCACCTCCAATCTCTGTTACCTCCTGCACCTGGGGCTGAAAGGGACGTGGGCTGAAGGCGGGTCCTGCCCAGCTGCCTTCCCCAGTGGGAGGAGAAAATGCTCATGGAAGGGCTCACACGTTATCCCCAATGCACTCGCCTGTGGGCCTGAATTCTTGCTGCCCCTGGGTGCACCCAAATGCCCCTTCTGGGGGGCAGGCTCCCCAGCTCACACCCCTCCTGTGACACAAAGCTTGCAAAGGGGTTTGAATTTCCTTCATCTCCCCTTGCTGCTGCACTAAAAGAAATCCTGAAACCAGCCCCTTCTCCTGCCACTGGAGAGATGGAAATGGAGCCGTTCCTTGTGGGGAAAGAAGTGGGTGTGTCAGGAGGGGATTTGAGTTCAACCTTCCCCACAGAGCAGAACCCCCCCATTAGGTGCAAGAAAGAGCCTTGAGTCAGGCAGTGGAGAACACTTGGCTTCTGCTACCATGTGATGGTGTGTGAGAACACTTATTGCACAAAACCTGGCTAGCTCAGTTGGTAGAACATGAGATTCTTAATTTCTGGGTCATGGGTTCAAGCCCTATGCTGGGCAATGTCTTTCCTTAACTCACATTCTCAACCTACAAGCAATTCACTTTCAGCTTTCACCGGGGTTTTAGAAAGAAAAAGTCTAGTCCTGGGCTCCAGCTTTAGTAGATGCAGAGAGAGAACCAACTGCAATTTCCATCTTCTGAGGAGAAGGGAAGAGGATTTTCTTCTCAGTTCTAGCCACATCAGCCAGGGAGGAGAAAAAATAACCCTCCGCCTGCTGATTGTCCCCCATCAGCTTCTGTAGCTTCACCTCCTGCCACAGCAGCTCCAGCTTTGAGCTACAAATCTCAAGGGGCTGGTGAGGAAATGAGGAGCTGGCAGCTCGGGTTAGTGGCTTCCCTGAGAACAAGAGGTGGAGTGTTCACAAGGTGCATTCCCCTCCCCTGCAGAGCAGGGTGTTAGAAAGAGCCAGGAACAGAACAGTCAGACAAGTTCCACCAGCCCCAAAGTGTGTTTCTGTGGCGTAGTGGTTATCATGTTTACTTAACACACAAAAGATCCCTGGTTCAAAGCTGGGCATAAACACAGCATCTGCTCTTACTGCTGCCCCTCGGGGTGCCCAGGTAAGCACAGCTGCTGTTGATGTGTGTACCTGGGATGAGCCCAACTCCCATGTGACAGAGAGCAGTGACATCAGCTGAGGAGTGTTGGGATACATTCACATCCCTTGCAGGAGGGAACCACAAGTGAGAAGCACCTGATGCCCACATACCCTAACTCTCCATGGCTGCAGAGGTTGCACTCACAGGATCTCTGGGCGCTGACCCCCTCTGGGAATCACAAGGGCATGTGTTGCTGGCTCTCCTGTCCCAGCAATTGGAGCAAAAGCCCTGCCTTGCCAGCACTAGTCACAGGAGCCTCTGCACCTGCTCCAGGCTTGCGGTTTCCTTTTTCCCAACACTCCTCCCCAATCAGCCTTTTCCTGAACCAGCAATTCCATGGGTGGCCAGAGGAGGCCTCTTCTGTGTCCCAGAAGGACGCAGGAAACATGAGCAAAGGCTACAGCAAGGCACCACTGGGATTTGAAGCCAGGATCACCTGCTTACAAGACAGGCACTTTAGCCAGCTAAACCACAGTGCCCTTTTCAACTACCCAACCAGGGCTGGCTTTTGGGGAGAACAAGCAGGGAGGGGCCACTGGAGCCCCTTACCCCCCTGGCTGTCTCCATGGGGAGTTGGCTCTGCTGAAAGCCCAAGTAGTTGCCTTATCAGTTAGGAAGGGCTCTGTTATCTGTGTTTCCACCTGATTTTTGTAGGCTCCTTTGCCTTCTTCAGGGCTATGTCTACACTGGCAG